GTGTAGTAACATAAATCATATGTTTAAGTTTTAACTATATTTATTAAACTATCATTTTGTAATAACATGTTATACATTCAAATTTATACTATATGTGACATTTTTATATAACTATCATGTTATTATTATTCAATATACAACGCGCGTAGTGTGATATAGAACCTCTTTGAATAATTTCAATAAACTTTAAATACTCTAATAGATAGCGTACATACTCATGAGAGGCGTAACATTTACATAACAATAAGTTCATTAAAGAAGTGGTCGGACACACGACTCGACACGAACTTAACCGACACAAAAACGCACTATTTAACCCAGCCTACGGCGCAGCGAAGCGCAGTTGTCTTCTTACATCTCTCATTCAACCTTCCTTTCCTTATTGTGTGGACGCCAAAGTCGGGTAGCTGTTATCAGTCCGCCGCGGCCACCAATATCCTAATCCTTCCTTATTATCCTTACACACTCATACGCCAAGTCCGTCGCGATACATAAAAAATACTATATTCATCACAATTCAATCACTTAAATACTTTAAACCGTAGGAGTTTCTTATCACACACGTGTCATTATTAACCAACAAAAACACTGTTGTTCTTTCGTTCATTATATATACATATATACCTATACCTAATTACTTTCCTCTTAAAGGTATCGTTAAAGGACATAATTTCTAGCGGTCGAACAATCCTATTACACCCATGTGACTATTTTTGGTCAGCAAGGAATGTAGTCGGCTTATAATAACTCAGTAGACGTTGTTATTTCTGACAAGCGCATTGATTATTATAAAACCATTGGTAGACCGTGTACTGAATTACACTTTAACGAGGAACAGATTGTCGTAAGATAACGTTAAAACACCAGTGTCTGAAATATTTTATGAACGAAAACATTCGCGTTAGAACAACGTTCATCTCGACATATCAAGATCACATACTCAAGGAATATCGACAAGGTCATAGAGCTTCGAGTAACTTCACGACAAGGTATGTACTATATACAATATTATAACACTGTGTAATAGTAAGTCTAGAGGCAGGAAGTGGGCTCTTGTAGTAAATATACACACATGCACACCCCGATTAAGAGACTTTTTCATATATATTTAAAATAACCATTCACCGCCGCTTCCTCGTGCTTTTCTTCTATTACATTAGCTATCATATCATAAAAATTAATGTTATAATATTTGTGAAAAAACGCAGTAGGAACAAAGTATTTAATTTTAACTATCACACTAAAAATGTTTAGTCACTCGTCAAAATATTTTACTAAAGGATTATTAATTTTTCAATATTAGTATTATATGTTTTATTTATTATGTATTTTTTAAAATGGTTTAAATAAAAATTGTACATTAACAAGTTAATCAATGCTAGAAACCATAACTTGATCAACGAATAAACATATTAAGTAAATTAATCGTTCACATTAAACCTTGAACATATTTTTAGATGGAATATCAACTTAAAATAACCATTTGAGTTACACTATAATGATGTAAAAAATGAGTTATATATTTATTTATCAGTTAAGATGACGTGGCTATTCGGTGTGAGCAAGCATAATTAGTTTTATCAACCTATGGAAACTGTCTTTGACCACACAAGAAGAATTTAGAAAAAAATAATTATTTACTAATACCGACTAGTTGAGAGGTAAAAATATTATCAATATTTTAATAGAATATAACAAAAATACATTTTTGAATTGTGATTTTATTTTTAAACAATATAAGTAACTTACAATGTGCGTTGTTTAATAGAGAATTTATTTTTATAAAAAAATGTTTTATATATTTCTGGACATTTAGATTTTCTTGAGGATAGATAATATTCACAAGTATCAATTTTATGGAATTCTCCAGGTGAACCGTTAATGGGCCAAACATAATTTCAGGTATATCAAGGTCCATTTGGGTTTCGCACAATAATAGTTGTTAAATGTTACTAAGTTTCTAATTTTCTAATTTTTATTTATGAAATGTGTTTTCACCCATTTTAGCATATCTAACACACTCTTAGGGTTCGGCAAACGGTATTGAGCGAAGGTGTCAAAATTATCAGTTTCAGCTACGCGGAATGTAACACCCGTGAATGCCAATGCCTATAAGCGAATACACAATGATGACTTAGTTATTATAAAATTATTTTAAAAATTGTGAATTACCTCCATAGCATATTCGTCATTCACATCATCTCCAACATAAATTATAGCAATTTCCCTCCAATTTTCTGGGAAGAATTTGTTTAAAATGTACAAAGCTGCTTGCCCTTTGTCCCATTCTACATTACTAGGAATTATTTCAATAGCGCAATGGGCATTACCCGCTTTAAACCCAGCGTCTAAAATGAGATGCCGAGCTCTTTCCATCAGTTTAGCATGTAAAACTTCAGGTGCAGCACGGTAATGGTAGGTCAGCGTAGGTCCTTTGTCTTCTACCCAATCACTATGTTTGCAAAGCTAAAAAATAAAAAATAAATATTTGCATTGCCCAGCTAGGAATACCGAAAAGTGGCGACAAAGCAAAAAAATATACAACTTTCAATGCTTTCTTAGCTCCATATTGTGAACTATGAAATGCAGTGTTTGTTGTAATGAACGGCATGTCTTACATACCTGGGCTTGGAGAGTTTCTATCAATTTTTTTAATTTTTCTTGATCCTTTTCGGATATTGGATATTTAAATTCGCCACCATCGGGAAAACTAATGTCAAGGCCAGTGTTACCAGCATAAGTCAAACCTTCGACACCGATCTAGAATGATTTAAATTATCTGTATTACATCTTCTCTAACGCAAAATACACAATTTCATTAACGAACCATATTTTTAAGATCACCTAATCCTCGTCCCGAAATTATTGCTATTTTCACATTTGGCATTCCGGCCAATGTTTGTAAAACATTTTTAGTCTCATCGGGTATTATAGCCATTTCAGGACTTTCAACGATTGGAGTTAATGTTCCGTCGTAGTCCAAAAATAATACTATCTTATTTCGGTCTCCAATGTAGCTAACAATTCCCATTTGAATTAAAACGTATTGCAATAGTTAACATGTACAAGTATTTACCCGGATAAGCAATCATCGAAGTTGTTTACAGCTAATGGTCGCCTTGTAGTTGGCTCATCGTCTTCTTTTTTAACTATAAATATGCCAATAAGTACACAGTCTACATTATATAGTCTACATTACTTACAATATTATATTTTTATACTTTTAAACCTTCCGGGTTTTATGGACATATATATTATACAGTATTAAAGCTGGATCTAATATTATTTTTTTATATTGTATAGCTGATTATACAATAGAAGTAGCGACAAGAACCGACGATTTAAAGCAACCTAACCATTGGGCCTGTGAATAAATCGGAACAAATAAAATATTTAGCTTTTTATAAAAAACCAAAGGACGTATCAAATATCTAGTTCTAGAAAATTATAGCTTTCAGAAAGTGAAAAATTTCAAATTTGGGAGTGAATATAAATCAACAATATAATATGCATATCACTAAAAGAAATAACGCCTGCCATAGGATTAAAATTTGTGTGATTCGATAGGTTTATGTAAGTAAATTTAGTATGTTTGCGAACTTGATGTATAAATAAAATGTTATTCCTTTGTATAAATAATATAAGCATGATCTATAGGATTTAGATTGTAGTTTACAATGTAATATCTTACAGTATTCTTTAACGTGTTTTTTGTAAAATGTTCAAAAATGTTCCCTAGTAGTTATATATATAAATATATTATACAGGGTGATCATTTTATCGTGAATCACTCAATATCTCATAGGGTTTAATAAAATTAATTAGTTAATATTTATCTAAAACAATAATAATGTTCCATACATATTATGACATTACAATGTATATTATTACGTGCTCACCTGCTTTACTTTTACCGCTACCGGCGTTAACAACTAAAAAAAAAAAAAAAAAAATGTTATCGTTAACCACTCAATGTCACATAGGGTTTAATAAGAAACTATGTATCATAATAATAATATACCATTACAATGTATAATATTACGTGCTCACCTTTTTTACGTTTACCGCCATTAACAACTAAAAGAAATAAAAAGTTATTTAAAAAGTAGGTCACTTATGTCATAAGTCGCTTTGTTGATAAAACATATCTATTTTGTCCAAACACAAAGTTTGATAAAACAATAACAAGCTAGAAGCTCAAGCTTACATAATATTATGAAAAGCAAATCATACACAATAACAATGTGAAAGACAAATAAAATTATACGTTTATTACCCGATAACGATAGAATGAAAATCGCTGCTATTGTAACTGAAATACAAATTGATTTAGAAAATGCCATCATATATTTTGCTTATTCCGACCGTCAGTTTGTGGTGTTAACTGTTCAGTTATCTAACAAGAAGAAGAGTAAAACTATGGACTGATACACTACTATTTATATAAACTACGTGTCTACGATATAGATAAAGCAATGACACAATTTTGCCTCGCAATGTGCAAAAACATGTTGTTTTAACGACCTATTTAATTGTTCACACAACATTAAAGGTTAAAATTTAAGACGGGAGGTGGAGTGCGGTAGAGTAAGCGCGTGGAGATTTTTTATCTGCACGCATTACCGCACTCCACCTCTCATCCAACACTTAAATAACTTAAACTTAAATAACTCTTAAAGCTATTATCCAAAATTAGTTACAATAAAATCTTGATTCTTGAAAAATAATTTAAAAAGTAAAACAATTTAGAGCCACTAAAAGTTAAAACCGTGGTGTTTATAACGCAAATGAGTATAAATTAATTAAAAAAAAAATATATTAAAAATATTTTCTAGAACAAAAGTTATTTCATTTGTGAGATACGCTGCATATTTTTGTTTTATATGTACTAAATATTAAAAAATTATACATTTTCGGATATCCTTTCATCATTAATGCTCACTTGTAAACCTCTCCGGGCACTCTGTCTTGTCTTGCCTTTTTGAAATCTTTCAATAACCATACCTAGGTTGTCCTTGTTCCTTCTATACCTACTTTACTACAAGCTGGCTCACACAAAACACTGCACCGGTTCCATCGTTGATTTACCTGTCGTAAAACCAAACCCGTTTTAAAATACGATTTAAATAATTATTTCTTTTTTGGAGACTGGTGAGTACTTAATTAATCATGATCTGTTTTATTTGTTAATTATTTATATCCATTATTTAGCCCATATCTAAAACAATAACTATTTAATTTATTGATTTTTTAGGGTGTCTATTTCATGCAAAACGCGCCCATAGAGCTTCGCCGTCTGTCGTGGAGTGTCCCTTATATCGTCTTCTGATTGACCGTTGTAATCATGGAATCATTAAGTAACCATGACCTAGAGTTGGACCGAGCTCTGATAGGCTCTCTGATAATATCTCTATTATTTACAAGGTTATCATTTTGAATCACTCAATATATCATAGGGTTTAATAAGAAATTGAATTTGATTTTTTTTCCATAAGGTTGTCGTCTTGTACAATGTGATCTCACTTTTTACCAATTTTGTTGTTTTTACCAACCACCCAACTTAGTTTTTTTGATAAAAACTTTTGAAACTTTAATGTTAACGCATACATTTTATTGACTTTTAAATTGAGAATAATGTACTAAACATTTTGACTGTTGTTAACCGGTTTTGGATAACTATTTTTGAAGTTATCAGAGTTTAGGGCAGGAGGAAAGGTGGAGTGTAGTATTATTTTTATTTGAGCGTACTTAACCCCCCCCCCCCGGCTCCCACCCTAACTTCTAAACTCTTATAACTTCAAAAATGGTTGTTCAAAACTCATTATCGACCAGTAAAAATGTTCAGAAAATTATTTTTAATTTAAAAAAGTTAATGAAGTATATACGTTACCATTTAAGTTTCAAAAGTTACAACATTTTTATCTTAACTTACAACATATTTACAAATTGAAAATGTAATTATTATGTTACTAGAGACTAAAGATTATGTCCTATTAGGTATATAATTATTACATGCAGTTTTCGTGCCAACTAGTAAAAATCCAGTACAGTGGGGTAAGGGAGGTCACAGGTTAACAGGGTTATTACATCTGAAAGTGATAAAATCAAAATAAGCATCAAAGCGTTAATTTGAAAGTGATTTTATCCAAGAGGACTAGTACAGTAGAGTATCGGCTTAATGGAATCAAAGCATAGAGGGGACGGAGAGGTCACAGGTCTACAGGAAGCTTTTATCGATAATATAAAAAAAATAGTTATGTTCAAAATTTGTAGGCAAACATTGAAACTAGGTGGTTGTAGGTGTTCAGGCACCATCCTAACAGAGAACGAATTTGTTTGATTATGTTTTCAAACTAACAAAATTCAAAAGTTTCAACTTTACATTATTGATTCACTCAAACAGAGCAACCTAGAAATTAACTACGGTCAAAGTGTGATTTTCATGTGAAAGGAATATCACGAGAGTGAAATATGTGTATTACATAGCCCCGTTATCGTAGATCTTTCTGCAGTCTAAATTCTAGTCCTTAAAATCAAAACCTAAATATAAATATAGAAAAAGTCGCCAACTCTTCTGGTGGAATAGCTTTTTGATATTTTTTTGGTTTGTTCATGTTTATTGTTAGTACTTTATCTTTATAACAGTCCATACAAATTTAGAACTAATTCGATTATTTTTGTTGAAGAATTATGGGTTATAAACACCAAAAAGTCTCAAAAATTTTAAAATTCATATGAGATATCCTGTATGTATTGGTTTATAATGAATACACAATAATACTAACGTTAATGAAATATATTGTAGCCTAGAAAAGTGCTAATGGTAATATTTTAGTTTTTATATGAGTTTGAGAACGCATTGGTCATACGATGAATGATGATGTGTTTTTCTTCTGATCTAAAGTCTAAACACAACATTTTAAAAAGTAAACTATTAAAATAGTTTACACCTCATTTCAAAAACGGATTTAATTTAGGAATAGATTATTTTTATTTTTTTTAATGTAAATGTTGTTATAACTTCAATATTATCCAGTTGAGTTATAGGAAGTAATAAAATAAATACTAACGAAATGTAAGAGCAAAATGATTTATTAATCAATCAAGACTACATTTTTGTATGTGTCATACTATATAGTACACACACGCATTAATTTTATAAATTAAAATGTAATTGTTGACTAATGTTGCGAATCATATCATCTTTTGTCCAAAAAAGAAACGTGAGTCCTAAAAGTACAAAGTATTATACATTTTTTAATCAAACGAATCAGGCCAATTCAGCGACAAATATATTGAGAAAAAATATGTTTTCCATTTACAGAAGATTATTTGTTCAAATTTTCGTAATAATAGTATCTGTTGCTTAAAGCGAAGTTCACGGTTCAATAGTTACAAACTTAGTTAAATATTCTAAATCCAAGTTTATTGTTCGAATATTTAAAATGTTTTCAAAAACCATGATACTGTTTTTTTGCGTGGCATTGTATTTTTCGAATTGTCAAGATGCTCCTCCTAATCAAAATCAACTTGTAAGCATAACGAGTACTGATTAATTATTAATAATAAAATACCTAAGATTGTTGCTTAACAGTGTACAAAATGTAATGTATAGTTTAGAAAAATACTTTAATGTTTAAACAACTTCCATTTTCGCACCGAAGAGTTTTTTAAGTAATATTTTCACTTATAACCAATTTTTGATAACAATAACAAAAAAACGTTAACTAATATGAAATTTATGTTATTATGCTGAAAAAATTTGCAAGCCATTTTATATGTCTGGTAGTTACGCATTGTTTTTTTCGTTAAAGAAGGATTAGTTAAACTTGCAAATTGTATTATACAATTAAATGAGTAATTTGTATTCTTATAACAACAGAACACAATAACAAGAATAGTCAATGCGCATAACATGAGGGCTGGCCTGAGTTACGATGGGCTATTACAAGTAGTTGCCCAAGTAAAAAGGGAGACACGCGCAATTGGAAATTACTTCAACCGTGATGCTGTAGAAGCGAGAATAATAGGTAAAGAATAATATGATAATATTCAATAAATATGTTGAAAAAAATGTACATATCTATTAAAAAGACATTTTAATAATCAAGTCTATCATTTGTAAAACTGTACATTGTAGTCATAAATTACGAACACATTAAATAACTGTCAATGACGAAACAATTTTTGGTGCATACAAAAATATTAGCAAAACATGAGATACATAATCAGATTTTAAAAAAAGACAGTACAATGCGACCCCACTGTACTCGGCCCCACTATGCTCCGACCCGGACATAGTGGAGCCGAGGAGGACACAGGTTTAGAGGAATTATTACAACTGAATATGGTAAAATTACTTTCGAATAAATGCTTCGATCCGAATCAGTGGATAGAATTTTCAAACCAGTAAA